ACTGGTGTGTTTAGCGTCCTATCCCGCCCATACATCAAAAGTGGTCCCAATGTGGCAACAAATGACGCGAGTGTCATGCTGTTGCCTGTCGCGATCCTGGCGGTTGGCCGTAGAAATGCTGGCGAAAAGCACGAGCGAACGCGAGTGTCGCTTTCGTCACGCGTTGTCCCTTTAGGCGTCCCAACTTCCGGCTGCTGCAGCTTCCGTGAACTGTCACAGTGGAAAGCGACCTGCAGCAGAACAGGCGTTTGCCACTTATACCACAACTGTTGGGGCGCCGCCAGGGTCGCAACAGGCGACAGCATGACACTTTTATGACGTCATCAGGCGGAAATCGAGGGACCACTTTTTTGAACCCGGTAAACACACCAGTCGGAGACGCGTTCCAGGCGCCATAGTCATGGTCAAAAAGATCGAGCGCCATTGTTGTCGGAAAGCTCGTCTGCTTCTTAGCAGACGAACATTTTAGAACTTCGCTGTGCCAGGGGCGACACGCCGTGGTGAGCCAGGTTTTGTATTACGGAAGCGCATTCATTCCAGTAAAAAAAACGAGACGAACTATAAGTAGGTATACAATATTTTTGGTTCTCTATATAATTAGGGTGCGATATTTATTTACTTGAGTTTCTGCGATTTGTGCAAACACACGCAAATTTGTCTTTTCTCGATGAGGCAGATGCAGGTTTCCGTTGCCAGGGGGCGCGACCTGTACCGATCGTCTGCTATCGTCTGCAAATACGGTTCCATAGAGTTATTATAATGTACGCTAGAGGTTCAAGTGGCGCTAGTGTGCTGACGCAAATTGAAGCAGACAGCAACCAATCTAAAATTGACTTCCGGTAATGCATTTCTATGGGAAAAAGTGAGTGCATTTTCTCACTGCGCTCGATCATAAGAGCAAATATCCCGAATAATTCGTACGTTCTAGGTAGCTTGGAACATTTCTCAGTCAGGCCGACGAAATAATTGGTCAGTTACGGTGTTTTTCTTTCAAATTCATCGCATTAAAAACGGTGCTAAAACAGCTTCGTACGTGTATTTATGTGCACTGTCGGACACTGTTAGCGCGAACACGACGTCGGCGCTTTTCAGCGTGGGGGATATACGTGCCAAACGAACGAAGGACATCTGGAAATTAAGAAAGACGGCAAGAACTACGCAGTAACACCGAATCAGGAACTACACGTGTATATACGATCAAAATTAATTGAAGGCCACGTAATCTATTTCTATTTTAAATAAGTAAGTACCGTTTTATTCTTTCTGCCCTGAGCGAAGCTGCTTGTTCTACGTTCAAAATATCACTCGCACGCTCGAAATCTTTGAGAACAAGTGCCCGATAAAAGCTGCCCGGCAGAGAAAAAAATACGAAGAGACAACTTTTATAGCCCACGGACTTTATTCTCTACGTTTTGAACGTTTTTATCCGCTCATGCACGACGGGGTCATTTTTATATAGTGACAGGACTGGCATATTATCAATATATAAGCGTCACCGGATTGCTGGCGAGCCTTGAACACACTCTACATTCCTTTCGATTGTAATTTTGCTTCGAATCGTCGCTTGTTTTTACACACCTGCTGCGGAACACACGTTTGGGACTGAAATGTAGCGAAGTTAAACATCGGTCACTGATGAAGAAAAATGCGCTAACTAAAGCAATTACACTTTTACAGTGTTAATCAAGGCACATACTATTCGGTACGACCCAAATAACCAAAGTGTTCCGTGTTATTTTCCGGCGAAGAGACAAAATGCACGCGCGCTTTCCCATAGGAATACACGGGAAGACTGGAAAAGTAGACTGGTTGCTGTCTGCTTCAATTTGCGTGACGGAAGTCGCATAGACACTAGCGCCAGTTGAACCTCTAGCGTACATCATAATAACTCTATGTACGGTTCCCCCAAAGCCGTTTCAGGGCACACGATCGGTCCACACGCCCGATCCAAGGTATCGATCGATTTTGTTTATCGATCGTAATTTGTTCCGGTTCCCTAAAACTCTCTAATATCAGTTTCGTTTCGTTTTTTTTACGGTTTTAATGTTTAAGGTTTCGGTTTCCAGTTACACGTCCCTAAAAACCGTTGTTTTCTTCTTCTGTTTCTCTAATAATGCGTTTATTGAAAAGCTAGACAGCCGTTTTATAATATAATAATTAAGTCTGCGCCGTGGCATTACGCAATGCAAGTATGACGCTTTGCATTGCGTAATACCACGGCGCAGACTTCATTTTGAGGTCTAAACGGATGTTCCGCCTCATCATTCGCTGAGCTGATTTCCCAGATCGCAGAGACTGGCTCTTCGAGTGTTTTGCGGGTAACTAGACGCGCAGGCATTTCTTACTACTATCAATTTCTGTACAAACTTGTTTTATGTTAGCTTTAGTGTTCGAAAGAGTTGCGTCCCGTAAGCTCCCGTAACGCTATATTCTGGACCGGGTTGCAAACGTTCATCTAAAACATAAAAACAACGGATTGCGTATAGAGTTCCCGGGAGTGACTAGACGATCTACTAAAACTCTCAACACGGGCTTCTTAACTTTCTGACTTGGGCAACGTGATGTTTTTAGGCTATCGCATTATATCACCAAAGACAGTCTCATTTTAGTTGTCTACTGTGATGCCAAAGTCATGGTTCGTGTGTCCTTATCACTCACGGCACTTACTTTTTCTAGGAAAAACGCTCCAGGCTAGAAAATTAAAAGAAAAAGCAACCCTAACCAAAAGTTTACTAAACATTTATCCTATTTTGGTTAGAGTCCCTATTTTTCGCTTAATGTCTATTCCTAACCAGGCAGAGGGCTGCCGAACGTTTACCATTAAAATTAAGACTAATAAATTTCTGTAATACCCGGCGACAAATCATGACCGAAGATTTCTTCTCTGCTGTTTCATCGAATCTCGTTAAACCAGCAATATTGTTTGTCTGAAAAAGCCATTGAAATACTTGTGCAACAATTAAAATTGATGTTTATTCAACCAAAACTGAAAATACTGCATTTCAACTCTGCGTTATCAACATGAATAATCAAACTTTTTAAAAAGATAATGATTAAATTTGAGGTAATTAGCCTAATGATCTGCATTTGCTTTTCTCTGTTGAATTAAGAGATGTGGGCTATTCCAAGAGACAATTAATAATAAGTATTAAGCGCATGTAATATTTTTCTCCCTGTCTCTGTGTTTATGCGACAAATGATGGCGGACACCGGCCAAGCCCGGATTCTAAAATAAGACTGCCGTATATATATATATATAGAGAGAGAGAGGTGGGAGAGGTGGGAGGGTTGGAGTCCGGTGTCGCTGCGTGGTTGCTGTCGTGTGGGTGTTGTTCTGCTTGCGTTTCTTGTGTTCTCGTTTTGAGCGACATATGGTGGAAGGTATATTATTTACACGAGGGAAGAAAGTTTCTTCCACTGGGAGAAAAAACGTGGCAAATTTTCTCCTTTCTTAGGGGAGCAACTTTTTCTCCAGGAGCAAAAATAGGAGGCAAGTCTCCTCCCTTCTTAGGGGAGCAAATTTCCTCCCCGTTTTGTAGGAGAAACTTTCCTCCCTCTCTAAACGAAAATGGGGACACGTGAGTTTCTCCTTCAAGGAAGAAAATACTACTCCCCTTGTTTTAGAGTGCGGGTTGCATCTTTGAGGCTGCTGAAGAAGGTTGGCGCAATGTACGAAAAAGGGTACCCAACTCGGAATAAGGTATGTTTAATTACTTTTATCGATGTCCATCACGCACGCACACACACACGCACACGAACGCGCGCCTTAAGGACCCTCCAGGAAGAGGGGGGTCCTTAAGGTAAATAATCTAACAGATAAATAACTAACTAAACATGCAGGATCGTTTTTTTACCCTGAAAGAGACATGCCAAACAAGATATTTGCTTATGAGTGTTGCGTGAGTTAATCTTCTACTTACGTTATTTACTTGTTAATAAGCATCATCTTTAATTTCTCAATCTTCGCTAGTTCCATGACCAGCATAAAATATTGTATAACGACCTCATTGGGCAGGAGTCAACTTCTCGAAGTGACTTCGGATTTTTTTTACATCGTAATCCACGCAGTTTTCTGTTCATGAGTGCCCACGACAAACAGATGATGATGATCATGACGACGACGACGACGATGATGATGATGACGTTGATGATGACACCTCACAGCTTTCTCAGGTCCTGGACCTTTGTAACACTGGCAGCCCGTCCGCTGGGTTCGGTCACTTCTCGGATATGACTCCGCGGTGTTGACGGCACAATGGGCCGCCACCGGACACCTGGGAAGCCCGAACCCCGCAGCTGCGCGATTCCGGTTTGCGACGTCACGAAGCTCACGGCGGCGGCGCCTGGAACCCGCAGACACTGCGTCGCGCGGTTTCGCTGCCCCCTAGTGTGCCCAGATGTGGGAGTGCTTCCAACTGCTCGAGAGTGAGGTCACGAGATCCACGGGCCGCGTTCGGAATGGCAAATCGCGACGAGCAAGCGAAGGCGCGTTCATCGTACGCTGCGAGCTTCTCCGTCTTTGCCTCATCCCCCCCCCCCCCTTTCCCCTCCCTTCCCGCCGTCCTCTACGTCACGTGACAGCCCGCGCACGTTCAGGTGCACCTTCATTTGCGCAGAAGGCGTCCGACTTTCGAAGTGCAAGAGCTCCGCACGTTTCTGAGTTGCTCCCTCCCTCTCAAATCTAAGCTATCTAATGTCATGCAATGTGCCTCGGTGGTATTGGCTGTACACGGGGACAACATTCTGTGGCATTTGAAAAGTTTCGTGTACGAAATGCTCATAGGCGCTGAAGGTGCACGTGCGCCCGTACGCCCATTCAGGTTTCGGGGAGGTTGGACTCAACCTTGGGATGTGTGTTAGGAAATGTATAGGCCACTGGGCGCTCATAGCTTTGACTACATATGCATGGTTGGCTCCGCATTTGCTCCGCCCCCCGTCCTGCCAACTTCTCCGTCACGTGACAAGTAGCGCACCAGCACGCGCACCCAATCTGCGCAGACGAGGCGTCCGCCATTAAACGAACAAGCGCTCTCTCCGCGGTCCGAGTCGCTCCCTCCCTGAGATCGGGGCTCTCTGCCGCCCTGCAGCGGGCGCGGGCGCCGTCACATCCCTTCCATCGATCGCTTCCGCCGTTGTTTATATCTTTTGCGTCGGCCGTCGGCTCGGGCGCCGGGGACGCCAAAGATGGCGACCGAAGGCACGACGATGAAGGTGGACCACCAGGCCCCGGAGACGGTCGAGACTCTCACGCGAGAGATCGAGCAGCTCAAGGCCCGCCTCGAAGAGGAACGCAAGAAGCTCAACGACGTCGCACGTGAGTCCATGCTGTGGCCCGGCTTGCTAGAATCGGCGTCTGAGCTCAGTCTGTGGGAAAGAAAGCCTGCCGGATCCAGGGATCGCGGCCGCTTGAGAATAGACTTCACGTGCAACGTTCCGCTCGTGCGCTCACTTTGGCGGTGCTTTCTTTCACGCAGTCTCGGCTGAGGCACGCTGATTCTAGACAGCCGATCCTGGTCCGTGTGCGCGGAGCCGTTTGCTTCTTTTTTGTGGTGTCTCTGTTTTGCTTCGAAGCCGTCTGGCTGGAGGCCAGCGGCGAGACCGGACGTGGCTGCGATCGCGAGCGCAGTTCGGGACTTGCTCGACGCGTAGTCGTTTAAAAGCATACCACGGTATAAGAAAAGAAAAAAGTGGAAAAGGAAAAAAAAGATTTAAGAGTTAAGTGCGCGATGAATGCAAGCCAGCGGCGCGCGCTTGCCAGCTCGGCGAGTGAGGTAAGCGAGCGCCAAACGCATTTAGATCTAAAATGGCATCTAGCAAAAGCCTTTCGGCGGAACTCTGACGGTGTATATATATAACTTGCACGTGACGTTAACGGATCATGCTGGTGGTCATTCTCACGTGGTCATTCTTATACCCCTGTCAGGCGAGCATCTCAAATGACATTTACGTAAAGGGCATTCAGGCACTGCCAGACGGCAACTCAAATGGCATTCGGCCTAAATGGCATATGGGTCACGCGACTCAGTTAATGGTTGCGCTTGCTAGCAGCGCTTTACACCTGTTGTGCGTGGACGCCTGGACGCAGCGAGGAACGGCGGCGATTGTTGCTGCAGTAGCTGCAGCCACTAACACGCTGCTCGGGAGCAGCCTCTCTTCGATAAGATCAGACTCTCTCCTGGCAGACCTGATGTTCGCCTTTAGAGCAGACAACGCCTTTCGCTGCTGTGCGTGCAGGCACATCAGCAAGGTCACACGGGTCTTAGGATCCATCACATTAGAATCAGAGTCCTGGGTGTAATCCATCGTAGACTCAAGGGTGGACAAAAGAAAATAGGCTCAAAGGGAACAATGAACTACCAGCGCAACCAAGGAGAACGGCGCGGAGAAAATGAAGAAAAAGTCAAGCGTCTCGGGGTGGCGGCAAAACACCTTGTTCATATGGAAAGCAGACGTTTCTAAAATCATTGTATTTAACTCTTTGTTCTTGTTTTTCTTACATTTTTTTTCTCTTAAAACTAAACAACAAAAAATAGTATGTTGCTAAGCTAACTCGGGGTGACAAAAAAAAAAAAAAAAAAAAAAAATGCTGCGCGTGCTTGATTTGATTTTGCGACGGGAATCGCAATAAACATAAGATAAATGGTATTTACGGTTTTCGCATGGTACGGCCAACGTGCACGTCATTTACCTAAATGACTTTTACGTAACTGGCCATACGCGCCGATGTTCAGAGACGTCAGTGCGACGTGCGCCTCAGTTGCGTATTATTTGCGCAAGCGGATGAACACTGACTGGCGGTAATGAGCACGTGGTAATCAGGGTACGGTGAAATAGTTCACTCTAATGAGGGTGTGAATCAGTTGCCACGTTGCTTTTTCTCTCGCCTGTTCTCGGTTCCGCTGGGTTTACGTTTTATATCATCCTTCAGCCTTTCATTTATACTTATTCGTATTCTTTTCATATTGTTTACACTTCATTAACGTTTCATGGTCTGTTATTTTCTCGTTCGTACGTATTCAATCCCGCGCTGTACCTATATTTTTTGCGTGTTGAATATAATATAAGAACCGCGCGATACCGATGTCAGACGCCGCGCAAACGTCGGCCGCCAAGAAGAGCAAGGGACCCCGCGTCCTGTGGGGCATCCAGGAGACGTGGGCCCTGATCGCCATCTGGGAGGATCGTCTCGACGACCTCCGGAGGGCCAAAAGAAACGCCAGGGTGTACGCCGACATTTCGGCACGACTCCGACTACAGGGGTACGACAGGGACGTCGAACAAGTCCACCATAAGATCGAGAATCTGGCAAGCACGTATCGGTGAGTTAACTCAGAAGTTGCACGTACCCTGCTAGTAGCGTGAGAACGATTCGCAAAATGGACGATAGGAAGGACGACTAGGACGGGGCCCGCCTAGCCTCAGAACTCACCTCGCGTGCCACTGTGGGACACCGCTGCGTCGCGTACCTCGAAATAGAAGGGAAGTCCGGTATCGAAGCGGCCTACGAAATTGTCCCGTGTAGCGTTTATTGAGAGTAGCTTCCGGAGTTTGATAAGACGCCTTGTACAAGCACTATTAAAAAAAAAATGTTTCCCAGCTGTTCAAATCTTGAATACATAAGGACGGTACAAGTAATAGACGCCGTGACCTGGCACCGACTCTTCATTGTGTATTGTTATGTTTAAGAGAAAACAAAGTAAAGACGCCTCAGTATGCCAGCTGTTAAAGTTGTTTGTAGTTCAATATCGTTTGAAGTTATAAAGGTATAATGTTTGCACGTTTGCAGGGTACAACAAGGAGCATAATGTGTGCTCGTCCTCGTTATGGAATCGTGGGTCACACTGCTCTTACATCACACAAATGACAGTCTGCAAACCCGAGTCGCCGAAATATCCGTGGTTCGAATGCCGCGTGACAAGTCTTCTCCTTGAACTCATTGCCATGGTGCATTCGAAGCACGGATCTCGTGGTGACTCGCGTTCAACTTTCTATGCAGGCTGTCTTTTGCATTTTGCATAAAAATTGTGACCCAGGCTTCAGAAATGTTATTTCTGTTATACAAGGCGTTTTACACCGCAGACTTGCCACTCACGGCAATTTTATTTTCTAGGAAACATCAACGGAATAGTACCACCACTGGGTCCAGCGGAATAAACTGGCCCTTTTATTGGGAACTGCACCGCTTCCTGGGGTCGCTGCCTCTCAACAACACCAGCCTGGTAGTTGAGAGCAGCTGCCCGGACCAGGCATCACCCGCAATGTTGGAGGTAGGCTGGCAATATCCACCCCTAATTTTTTTTAATCGCGGCCGATTTTCGTGCACCTAAAATGGCTGCATCTGATACTTGACCATTTGCTGTAATCTTGTTTGATATGAAATGCTGATGGTGTGGCATTCTTCACAGCAGGTTTCGAAGACGCGGGGCGAGGCTCCTGCAGAACATGATGCGCTGTCCGAGTGCACTGCTGATGCACAGGCAGCAGACGGTGGTGCGCAGGACGACGGCGCAGTAGCCAGCACCAGCACAGCAGCTGGTTCCGACTCCCAGCAGAGCAGCACCAGTGGCGACTCTACCATAGGTCCGAAAAGAGACAGTGCCGGCAGCGGTGGCAACAGCGAGAGCAGCGACTCCACAAGCGAGGTCCAGCCGAGGCGGAAAAAGAGGAAGAGGTCACCGACTCCCAATGCAGCCCTCATCCGAGCAGTTATTGACGAGCAGGTGCAGCTCCGGTTAAGCTTCGAGGCTTCTCGCCAGAGGGAGTATGAGCTCAGGGAGAGAGAGCTAGCCTTACAGCGGGAGGCAGTGAGGTCGCAGCAAGAGCTGGCAACCGCTATGATGGCGTTTCTGAATAAAATATCTCGTTAGGCTTCTAGAGTTTACACAGGCTACATAAAAATAAATCAGAATAATTTGCTATTTTTTTTTGGAGAGAATTATGAATCTTTTTCAATAAAATATTTCAAGTATTTGAGTGATATGTGGTTATTGTTAAACATTTGCCATTGGTTACAAGGCTATTCGTGTTTTCGTTAAGCAGTTGAGATAAAAACAGGCCTTATTCCGTTCTTCAAAATTGTTTTCAAAATGTAAAATTCACTTTTCATCAATCAACTGGTGAGGCTTTCAGTAGATTTTACGCTGTACAACGGTAGTAAGCAAAGTCAGTCACTGGCTCAAAATTTGCCGATTTGTTTCGCCGTAAAATATGCTTTTTATCCGATGGTGCGCTCCAGATGCCTTGCACAAATGCAGAGGGTATAGAACAGGGGCGGCCAAGCTGACCCGGTCTAAGAGCCGCAAACAAAAACACGAAACTTCCAAGAGCCGGGGGGGGGGGGGGGATGGGGGGAGCTAACGTTTTTTCCAGAACATTAAACGATACTCGAACTACTTTCCATCTATCCGAGTCAAAAGCAGTCCATCTGTGCGCAAGGTAGCACAGGACTGCAGAACTACAACCAGTCTTTCGGTCAAAAACGCGTTCCATTTATCTTTTTGTGGCAGTTCTCGTGTGACCGGGAGGGTGTAAGGGGGGGGGGGGGGCGGCGTAGGCGAGGGAACCGCGAGCCGCACTTTGACACGCGAAGAGCCGCATGCGGCTCGGGAGCCGCAGTTTGGCCACCCCTGGTATAGAAGCTTGGACAGGCCAGCATACAGTACCATTAGTAAAGAAGTATCGTCCATTCAGGGCCACATACTGAAGCATTGGCTGTATGTTCACCTCATCCACTTTCTCAGCCTCCTTGAGCCACAGGGCCTCAACACTGTCGCTGAGTTGTTCGAAGACAATGTTAAGGACGCAGCACGCTCGTATGATCAACAGTACCATAGCCTCCTCTATACGGAGAAAGCCTGGCACATCGACGACGGAGCCATAGGGCGCGCGGCCGCAGGAAAAAGGAGAGGAGGAGCGCGCCGAACGGTGACCAACATGGTAGCGCAGAGCAGAAAGGGCAGACCTAGACAGCGAGCGCTTGGGTCATGAGCGGCTGCTCCCCGAACCACGCTTGTTTTTGTGTTTTCGTCACCGTCATTTTCGTACTCCGGGAGAAACGGGCGCGGCGATTCGAAAGGGCGCAGGGAGAAGCGGGAAAGGGTGGACGTTGAGTTTCACCTCTCCACGATAGCGACAAGAAAAGAGAGAGAGAGAAAAAAAAGATTGTTTCTGCATTTGGCCGCTCGCTCTTTTGTGGCGCTAGCAGGCAAGGTTCTCTCCGCTCCCGTCTCTTCGCCCCTCCTTTCCCATTTACGGCGGCCGTCTTTTCTCGCGACGCGCCAGGCTTTCTCTGTATAGAGGAGGCTATGACAGTAC